CAACAATATATATATAATCAATATTATACCTTAAGGAACAAAATATAAAAGTAGTGACTTCAAAAAAATACATAACTTTTGTAATGTTTCTATTTTTTGCTTTTCAAGTTTTTAATATGTTCGTTCTTTTTTCTTTTTTTCTTTTTGTCTCGAAGAGTCTTCAGATAACATGAATACTTCACAAGATCAGCAACATTCCCCCCTTATCATGTACATTGCTTTGCTGATTGGATTAATTGTGAGCCTAACAGTCTCATTGGCCTTCTTGATAACATGGGCTATTCGGAAGAAGAAGAGACATCTACAATGGCGTAACTCTCAGCTTGCTATTCGTCATCGGAAGAACTGCTACATATTGAACAAAAAGGTCATATGTGATGAAGTCAGCCAGACAGAAGGTTATGAGGGTAGGAAGACTTAGAACAATAGGGATATTGTATAGAGCTGATAATTACTAAAATTATTAAACGTTAAGGACTTACCTCTTCCATTAAATGTTATTTATATGTTAATCAGATTTTATATTTTTAGGTCTCTCTCTATTGAGGTTTCAATATAAAAATATATTTATATTTAGTAATTAAATTATTTAACAAGGTGAGGATATTAATTTTCAATGTCACAAGGTAATGTAAAGCTAGATGCAAAATAGTATTCAACAGAAAGTAACCAGATCTGGAAATTCTGCTAATTTTGATAATAAATGGCAATAATAATAAAAATATGATTTTATTTTTAACTTTTTATACGCCCCCAGTGGCACAGCGGTATGTCTGAGGACTTAGAACGCTAGAATCCGGGTTTCGATACCCGTGGTGGGCAGGGCACAGATAGCCCATTGTGTAGCTTTGTGCTTAATTACAAACAAACAAACTTTTTATACAAGTAATGAAGATGTATTTAATAAGGGTTTTTATACTTCGAAGGAAAAACTTTCAGTAACTATAAACTGTGAATAATACTTAGAACATTTGGGTTAAAATTAAATTCTTAAATTTTCTCAATTAACAAAGAAATCTAGAATTAATTACTTGAAAATACAACAGATAGAAATGGCTATCTAATTACTGTTGATGTTTTGAAATTCCATGCGTTATGATTACCAAAAAGCGAATAGTTCTCAAATTAATTATTTATATGGTGTTTCGTTATCGTATTCAATATATATATATATATAAAGTACAAGAAATTACAGTTTAAAAAATTAATTATAAATTAGCCTAAGGTTAAATTGTTTCATTTGAGACCTAACGTTAACACATCAAGCTCGGAATTTTCATTAAAATAATGATGTGTAGAACATATAATTTCCTACCCCTTTTTATCTATTTTGGAGCAAAGCAGCATTAGGTTTTCTGCTGTATCCACAGCAGGAATTGAACCCCGGATTTTGACGTTGTAAGTCCGTAGACTTATCACTGTCCCACCGGGGGACTTTTATACTTTGTTTCGCAAGTTTAGCTTTCAATATTTATGATACACTAATTGTGTAAAACAGTACTTTAGGATAAGAAGCACGCTTAGCTTTCAGTATTGTTGAAATATTCTGTGTATAAAACAGTGCTTTAGAAATACGAAACACGATTAGACGGAAAATAAGTTGTGTATGTTTTCAACTTTAAACTGACTTTAAATAGAGCAAATTAATCAGTTCCTCCAGTAGGTCAGCTACTTACTTATAACGCTAAAGGCCGGGATTCGATTCCATAAGGTAAACAGAGAGAGCGCAAATAGCCTATTGTGTAGCTCTGCGCTAAAAGAAATAAACACATTGTTCAACTTAATCAAAATTATCTCTAAGTGCCTGCCCCCCAGTGGCACAGCGGTATGTCTGCGGACTTACAACGCTATAATCTGAGTTTCGATACCCGTGGTGAGCAGAACACAGATAGTCCAATGTGCAGCTTTGTGCTTAATTACAAACAAACAAAGTATCACCTGTAAATTCACATGGGCCGGGCGTGACTTTGTATTTAGCGTGCTCAGACTGCGAATTCCAGGATTTACGCTTCGTGACCCGTTGTTGGCAAAAAATTTCTTTGAGTGACTGTCAGTTCTCGCTATTCACATACAAAAGTAACCCAACAGTTGGCGATGGGTGCTGTTGACGATCTGTCTTCTTTCTTTTTTGTAAGCTAAAAATCAGGTACAATTATATGCATTTGGGCTTTAACATAAGTAAAAAAAATAAAAATAAAACAATTTTTCTAGTTTGACTTTGAAAACATTTAAACGTAAATTTTTTTTCTTTTAATTTAGAAAGTTATATCTGCAGAAGTTATTTAGTCTATGTAAGAAACGGTTGAACTGAATTTCAGATTCACATACACAATATGGCCACCTTCAGCATTATTTATTTTATTTTGTATTTGAACTTTCCTCGGAACTGTACTTCATGAGTGTAATCTAGGAATTACATAAACAAGGAGTCTTTCTTTACTTTTTTGTCGTGAGTCTGTTTGATTCTACGTTGTCGAATGTATCGGTTTGATCAAACAATTGACTGTTGTTGTTTACATAGCATTTGTCATACTTCGTCATTATGACATAAGTAAACATTAAGAAAATAAAATACAACAAAGATTCTGGAACTTTTATACTGTCTCCCAAGACTTCGGAGTTTAATGACCTTTAAACAAAAGAAAAGTATAGAAGCGGCATAAAAGACTTGCAACAAAAGAAGATTTTTTTTTTATCTGAACAGTTTATAGCCTAATATAAACACATCTAATTACATACGATAGAAATTACGTGTAAGTTGTGATCACAGCTTTCAAGTTCTGGTTTGTAACTCCCCTGTTTTTAAACCATTCAAAGCACTACCTTGTGATACTCTTAACCTATGGGACCACACGACTCACAAGCGAGTTTGCACACGTTACGAAGCAAAAAAAAAGTGTGAATAATGTTAACCTGAGGCCAAACAACCATATTTAACTAGGGTTTTTCGATTGTACATATATACGGTACCTTCAGATGCCAATAAGATACGTTAAGATCACAAATATGGATAAATAACACAAAAAGAAATCCATTAGCTCTAGCGCTTTCGGAAGGTAGACTTTCTTTCTCGAAAAGTGAGGGCTTAACAAGACCTGGTGGTTCGAATCCACATCACACAGAACATGCTTGTCCTTTCAGTCGTGGGGACCTTATAATGTGACTGTTAATCCCACTCTTCGTTGGTAAAAGAGTAGCCAAAGAGTTGGCGGTGGTATTGACTAGCTGCTTTCCCTCTAGTCTATAACTGCTAATTTAGGGACAGCTAGCATAAATAGTCCTTATGTAGCTTTGCGTGAACTTCAAAACAAACCAAATTAAAAGTGAGTTGATAATATATAAATATTGGTTCAATACAAAGTGTTCGTGTTCTTTGATTTTCTAATATTACCATTTAGTACAAAATTACGTAACATTACGTAGTCTATCGCTAAATCTATGTTAAAATACTAAATATTAGTTATAGAGAGAAAACTTAGTTTATCTCTTTTCCTTTAGATTGCACGTAAGTTGTGGATGTAAATATAACACCAGGGTGGTGAGGGAATGCTTTCTTTTTATTTCAAAACTGTATAAAATATAGTGTGCTAACAACAGCATGCACTTTACACTTATAGACGGACACAAAGCTACACAATGGGCTATCAGTGCTCTGCTCACCACAAGTAAAAGCTCTTTATGGGCTTCATGAAATTACTTTCGTAAATATAAGATGTCAGTACCGATTAACTCGTTCTGTTGTGTAACTTATTTCAATTATTTTCATAGAACCAACGCTTATTAGAAATTGTGTCAGTGCATTCTTTCTGATATAATAACATTATTTTGCTTCCTCGATATAAAATTTAAATTATATGTATAGTTGTTTGCAGAAAACACGCATGTCAGTAAATATTCGTCTTTGGTTTTCACTAACAATTAATTATTGTTATTTCAAAGGATAATTTTTTCCAGCAGATTATCTTTTTTTCTCACATTTGCACAAAAGGAATTCGCTAAAGAGTTGGAAATATTAATGTATAAGAGAAATGCGCACAAACATCCGGTAGAGGGCGAATTTGGAATAACCACCACTCGATAATGCCTACATCCACTCGCACCACCAAGCAATAATTACAATGCAATAAATTATTTTCAAGTTTGTTAACTTTTACCTTGAGAAATAATCATTATTATTCGTATGACTATAAGTTAAGTTTCTTTTACATAACACAATTTAAGTTACAGCTAAACACTAGGAGAAATACGAGTAAACTGACAAACTTATACAGTAATATAAGTAAACTAACAAACCTATGTAAAAGTAAAAACAACTATAGGCTTTCACAGTTAGATGTCTTCTTTTGTATTACCACATATCCGTAGCAAAGCTGTAACACCATATACAAAATGAAGGCAGGGCTATTTAGAAGAAAATCATATTAGTTTTTGTTCAAAATAATTTTTCTTTGTGTAATAATCTTAGGAAAGTACTTAAAACTTATATATATATATATATAATTTTATGTAGGTACATTTAAATTTTTTTAAAGACCAAATTTTAATCTTTACTATTTGGCTTTATTATTAAGGTTGTTGATCACTAATACTATTTAATAATTACTCTAGATAAGGTAATATGTTACAAACGAGTTCTATTTTTAACGGCTGTTGTGTCTATACAGCAAGAATGGGGTGTATTTTAAGATCATTACTGACGGATGAACAGCAGAAAAAACTTCGTCCATGGCTCGTGGCTCGTAAAGAAGTAGAATCCATGGAATTAGTTGGAGAAGGTATGGATTTTCACTGCTAGGTAAAATCTGAATCGTTTAGTGAGTAAAATTATAGAGATCTGAAACTGAAAAAAAAAAGAGGTTAGAGACTTAAAATCATCCATGGCTTTTCTGTACTTAGTACCACAATACTAGAATTTACATTTGTGCATCTTATTAATAGGTAATATATTATTATTTCTGCTTATAAAGCTAGAAATGTTTATATTGTAAAACCAAGATTAATTTTCCAAATAATTCAACAGATATTTTACTTGATAAATCTATAATGCTAATCTAATAAATAAAGCTAGGGCTATTCACAATAAAATTGCAGTAATATTTATCAGAAATCTTATAATTTCAGTAAAGTAGTTAAAATTTTACTGTTTATTACTGTTATTAAAGTGATTAATTTAGGATTACCACTATAAGCCATCACAGTTCGATGTCGTATTTTATAGAGGGTCAGTGCTAGAAGTCAATTTTCAGTAATACAGACAATTTTTTTTTCACAACAACATAATAGTTACTTTAAACGCTGAAAGATGACGCAGTATTACAAATCAATAAAATCTGTGATAAAAATTTCATTAAATGCAGTTGTTTTTCTTCTTCATTTTTTCATATTCCTCTTAATTGGTCGTTTGCGGATTCCAAAATATAATGCCTCGCTAGTTTTCGCGTTTATACCATAACTTTTAAAATGTTATGCTGTATATATAAATAGGGTTTCAGAGAATGTTTGTGTTTCATCGTCTAGCTCAACTAACGAGTTCTGGTATTGTACGAAAGACCTCTTGGGCAGAAAAACATAAATCTTTAATGTTATTTTTATAGGCCTCTGATTTTGATTTCGAAATAGAGAAATTAAGAGGAATGTGAAAAAAAAAGAAATCTGCTCTTGATATTGAAAAGAACAAGGGATAAAAAGCTTAAACTAGAATAAACTGAAGATTTCCCGAACAAAATGAAGACAAATTCTTGATACATTTAATCTATGTTGTTTGTTTTTTCGTTGCATAACACATAATAATAATAACATAGATAACAGGCGTCTAATACAAGGGGCACGTGCTTCCCCATCCAACTTTTTTTCCCATTAGTGTTACATACACTATTATCAACAACTATATTAGATTCAATTAGTTCCCCCATCCACATTCCGACAAAGTTAGGCAGTATTCAAGTAAATATTTTCTCGAACACAATTTTAATCAGGGTAATATTCTTCACTCAGTGGAATAACATGAGAACCTTTCATTCGCAAGGCCTTTTACCAGAATGTTTGATAATTATTTAACACCATGAAATTTTTATTGTACGCTTCCTCTAGTGACAAAAAAGAAAGTGCAACAAGTGTCAACTGACTTTTAAAGATTATTCAGCTTGAACATTAAAACAAACATCAGCACTTGAAAGTTGAGAAAAATTGAAATACTGAACACACAAAACTACAAAAAATACGACTAATTAACTGTAGTTCTAACGTGTGGTTAAGAGTAGTGGTAGAACGTAAAACTTCATTTATTCATAAAAGTATGATTGAGAATACGTCGTTTGGCAAATATCACGATTTCTAACATTTTGTTCAGATCCAAGTAAATGCTGGGACGCTGTATATAACACAATATAGTTTTGAAACTTGCTCTTCTATATCATATAATATTTCTTTTTTCGAGTATATCAACTAAACTGTATAATAATGTTGTTTCTTCTTTTCATGTGAATAAAATGTTGTTTTCTGTTGATGTACTCATGTTGTTTTCTGTTTGGCTGTCGTATCGCAGGTGCATTTGCTACTGTACACAAAGGAAGATTTTTACGTGATATTCCTCCAACAATGGTCGCCTTGAAAACGTTAAAAGGTATAACAATTCTTTTCTGCATCCTGGTTAACGAAAAAAAAATTACGCCGGAAAGAAATATTATAAGGTCAGTGTTGTTACAAGTGTAAAATACCTGGTGTGTTCTATGGTCAGTGTGCCTGGACTGTGAACTCCGAGGATTAATGGTTCGCGAACAAAGCTGCAATAACATGCTCCGCGCTTTGGGGCCATGGGTCAATTATAAGAATGATATTCAAATCCCACTGTTCGATCAAACAAGAGCATCTAGTGGGTTGGTGGTGAGTCTCTTTCGTATAAGCTAGAGGAAAGTCAACCAGTCCACAGCACTCACCACCAACACTCTGGCTACTCCAGTCTAACCAAATAGTTTGCTGTCATTCTTAAAGCGCACCCATGACACCAATTTATGGACTGTTTTTTGTTGTTGTTTTTTACGCAGTGAAACATCTGCCAAAATCCTCAGATTCACAGTCCAAACACTCTAGCCACTGGGGCACGCCCAGCCCTTCTACGATTAAATCAACTATCAAAACTATCACAGTCAACTCGTGGCAGTTAAGAATGTTGTATTGGTGGTGGGGGTGAAGGATATGTGTGAACACAATTCAACAATACTTTGAAACATTTATACGTTTTATGTGATTGTCTCATACTATCATTACCCACTACGACTCTAAAGCCATTAGGTTTTACGTGATTGTCTCATACTATTATTACCCACTACGACCCTAAAGCCATTAGATTTTATGTGATTGCCTCATACTATTATAACTTACTACGACCCTAAAGCTATTAGATTTCGGGTGATTGTCTTATACTATTATTATCCGCTACGACTCTAAAGCCATTAGGTTTTATGTGATTTTCTCATACTATTATTACCCATTACGACCCTAAAGCCATTGTGCTTTATGTGACTGCTTCATGATTTCATGACCCATTACGATCCTAAAACCATTATGTTTTATGTAACTGTCTCATGTTGTTCATAACTCTACACGACATTTACACCTTTATTTGCTTTTTGTATCCACTTTATTTTCTTTATAAGCCATTGAACTCTAAGTGCCTCAGGTTCATTGTAACTTACAGTGTACTAAAATGTATTGTTTTCATCTGTACCTTTCCCACAGATACCTGTTGCAAAGTTGATGTTGTTGCTTTCATCGAAGAAGCTTTAGTACTGTCAGAGTGTCGTCATCGAAATGTGGTAGGTTTAATGGCTGTGACGGTTGACCTTAACCTGCAGCTTCCAGTTATTGTGTTCCCTTACATGCAGAACGGGGATCTTCAGAGCTATCTCCGGCGGAAACAAGAACAGCAAGAACAATTTCAACAGGTGGGAGTTATGTGTTATATAAATACAGAAAATGCTTACAACAAGAATAATGGATGTGAATCTTTTTTTTTCAACAACTTTTGACTGTACGGTTCCAGAGAGATTTACTACAATTTATTATAAGTGACGAAACTTTACGACCTGTGTCTGAGATTGAGTCCAAGTTTATCATAATAAAGATATTGTATTTTACATCTCAACCTTTGATATCGCAAAATGCCAATGAAAATTTCTTATTCATAAGATGAGGAGATTTGGTTTGTTTGTTTATTTAAGCGATAGGCTATCAGTGCAGGAATTGAATTCCAAATGTTAGCTTTATAAGCTCTCAAGCTCACCGATGAGTTACTGGGGGAAGAAACTGAGGTACATGGGGAAAATGTGGATATGAAGAAAAATAGCTAACAATCTGAGTACGACATTTGTGTTTCAATATTAGGTGTACTGGATTATCCGCGTAAATTAACAGAATAGAATACCATTTCATTTATGGTTTTTGTAATTTTTAATATATGATTTTTTTAATAAACCAACATAACTTAGGATTTCTTAACGCATTTAGCTTCTTATCCATTTAACTAAAGTAATAAATACATTTTGTAAATGTAAGATGATGTTGGGAGGCAGTGTCAAAAGAGATGCAAACATGAAGGTAGGGACGATACAACTATATATAGATCATTCCTACATGACTTTCAGTACTAAAATTTAAAGTTACACTGTAAAATGCACAAGTACAAAATGGTTATGAGGTTGGTCAGTTTGACCGACATCGTATCGAGAGTCTGTAATAATCAAGACATGCTTTGAATCAACATGGTTTTCTTGTACGTAAGTTCTAGGCTCTTAGTTACACTACATTTATGCCTACCCTGACATGACCATGATATTATGATAAACAAACTGCAAAATATATAACTTCCGATTTCAGTAATATTAAAGACAAGTATGCATTTTACGGTGTAATATTAAATTTGTGACGTTTTTTCCTCTGACTGAAAGTTAGTGTATTCAATGAATGTGTGTAATAAAATTTGATATTATATATACATTTTTTTTTACTCCTTCATTTCATACATATTATACAGGTGTTGGTTCCCTAAAGACAATGATTGTATAGTGTACAAAGCATTGAGTATTCTACATGCTACAGTAGTCTAATGTTCGTCTATTATCGGCTAGTAATTCCTGTTTCGCCCTGTTTCCTTTTTTAAAGGAACATCAAATTTCTGTAAATTTCTTCAAGGGGTAATGATAACATCGTTTACACTAGAATTATTATTTTTTGAAAACTACTACTAGTTATTATGACTAAGCGATGACATCGTGCACTGCCCAGGAACGCATAGAGTGGATTTAGGTTTAAACTGACGTTAGTGATAAAGTGGTTGTAGAGTTATCTCGACTGAAACAAGAAGAAGAAAGATAAACAGTTTGGTGAGTTGGTTACTTTCTGATTTAGTATCTTAGCGATTGTTTCTTGCCTTTTTTGGGGGGGCTTGTTGGGTAGAGAAACAAATGAAAGTGAGTGGAAATCATCTTTTAAAGTAAAACTCTCTGTCATTGTTGATTTTTAGCGTGCATATTTGTATTATGCCTATTGAGTAACTTGGCCATTCCTACGTATTGTCTACCGACTCTATGATAATTTGGTATGAGTAACAAATAGCTCAATATACAAGACAAATTATTCACTAACAAAAGCGAAGTAACAATCTAAGTTGAATTAAAAAAAACACTGTGTTGTTATACAACGTAATAAAGTTTAGAAAAAGCAAAAAGTGTTAAAAGTTATTATTTGTTGAATTTCGCGCGAAGTTATTAGAGGGCTGTCTGCGCTAGCTGTCCTCAGTTTTGAAGTGATAGACTAGAGGTAAGGCAACCAGTCAAAACATCCACCTCCAACTCGTTGGATACTCTAAACGAATAGTGAGATTTTACCGTCACTCTTATAACGCAGCAACAACTCCAAAATGGCGAATGGTAATGAGGCGTGAGCCACGGATCCACAGTCAAACATGCTAACCACTGGGCTGCAGTCGGCCATAAGTTTCCTTGTTTGTTATTAAACACAAAGCTACACAACAGGCTACCTGTATGTGCCCACCGCGGGTATCGAACCTCACTTTTAAGTGCTATAAGCCCTCACACTTACTGCTGAGCTACCGTGGGAGTGAAGGGGGCGTGGTACAATTAAAAAATATGAGCCCTCAAGGTGTTGCTGAATGGTAATCAATAGCTTATAAATGTATTTACTCTATTTTTATTGATTACTGACGCATAATCTGACTATTCACAATTGATATTGATAACGTGAGCCCGCCTACACGACAGAGAGCTATATATACAAATTGCTTGGGTTGTGCACGAAGTGGGGGATAGGACTGGGAGGGGGAAAGAGGAAAGAAAGCATGAAAGACATAGTTTCGTAAGTGATTTCTAATGGTGTCGCATGAGCTCTTCAGTTTAGACAACAGAAAGATTATTAATCTCTCTGTTGTTGTTTTTTTTATAAAAAGGATACGACATATGTTGAAAACCGTTGCGTGAGCCTTTCAGCGAGAGTTCCATTAGCTTACAAAACTGAAAGATTTGATTGCAGGTTATCTGTTTGTTAGAAGAATACGATGGTTATTGAAGTTAAACGCGTTATCTTTACAGTAAGACTCTCAGTAGCATGAGTCAGCAGATTGTGGTTGTTGATAGTCTCAGTTCCTCTAAATGTCAAGAATGGCGTAATAAATTCGAAGAACTTAAGAACGAAACAAAAAATAATGTATAACAATATTTTAACCACACTATATCTACTATATCCATTAGCGACGAGGCCTTTCGCCCAATACCAGAGCTCATCAGGGTTACTTGGATATGATAGACACAGTAGTAGTTGAAACGCTATTTATATTATCAAATTACGTTAACAAACTTTTAAGTTGGTGAAGTGAACTTTTTATCAATTTTATATGAATCATTTACAAATCATAAAAGGGTAACGATTAGAAACACACTTTTAATTGTTTATTTATTTGAACAGTAATTATTTATAACAGTCAAAAGTAAAGTATAATTCCTCCTTAAAAAATAAGTCATCGAATTCAAACGAGTACTTTATAAATGAATAAGATAAATGAAATTTTAATTGAGTAATACTATTAAATCCTTTAGAACGCATTGAACCAATATTTTAGAACAATGTATCAAACTTGTACATATTATTGTAATGTGTTTTATCGTTCCGTGGGTTCTTTGGATTATCTTGTAAAAATAATGCGAAATGCAGTCTATGTAACGACAACAAATTAATTTATTTCTCGAAAAACATTTGACACAGGCTACGTTCACTGGTAGGCCTAGCTTTACGAACAACGTTTCAATATGAATAATGTGGTAAGCTGACTTACATGAACAACGTATTAAAATGTGTTGACAATATATGAAATTGAATATGAACAGTTTAGTGAAATAACTTGCGTTGATCATAGTATTGAATTATAGTATAAAATCACTGTGTTGAAATTAAATACGTGAAGTGATATATATATATAAACAGTTTAAATAATTAAAATCATTTAGAATTGAAATACATGAACAATAAATTGAAGTGTATGAGCACACAAAATGCACTTTGACCAACAGGTATTATTCTTTAGACTGTAAACTGATAAAACTACTATATGTTCTAAGACATGATTTTTTTCTATAACATTCACGTAAGAAAATTCAAAGTCATTGTAAATTTCAACAACAGATACAACATTTTCGTGTTTTTTGAGAGCCGAATATGATCAACGCTGCGTGGCCATGATATGCGTTCTACTGAGTGCTCCTCTAGTTTGTATTTTGTAATCTAACTAATAAATTTTTACGATCCTTGTGATGTGGAAGCTGTTTTGCAAAATAAACATTTTTATTTTACTTTATTTCATGCTTTTCTTAGCGTAGTTAGTGTTAATCCGTTTTTGTTTTTTATATTTGACGTTTCATGGAAAGCAACTACTACGTATGGATTTTTTTTTAAAGTTAAGATCACGAGAGAGTCTTACGTCAGGCCTCGCGATCCGCAGACCATACGAGGCATACCGGTTGTCTGTGTAAAGTAGTATTGAAACAGCCGGGAACCAGTTTACAGTTTTCACACTAGTCGAACTAATTCGATGACGTCATATTCCAGCTTAAATGCCACTTCGCAACTATTTCACCAACTGTTTTACGTATTAGTCCTGAAGAAGCCATAAAAGCGAAACGTCGGTTAAGATAAAAGTTCTCTTATAATTATCTGTAGGTTAAAGGTAATTTTTTCTAACTTTACTATTAGTTGTTATGACATGAAACTCAGCCTTTCATAACTTTTGGCTAATTTTAAGTATTCCTTTTGAATTGTGAGTTGACTTTTGACTCAAAGTCAATTTAACTACAAATTGAAGTTAGTTTCAACCATGAAAAAAACAAAAAAACAAGAGAACTAACGCTATATAATTTGGTAAAATTATTCAAAGAAACTAGTCTCGAAATCAGAAATGTCAACATTAATAGACATATAGTAGAACTGTGGTTCACGATAATACAAAATTATGGCACATCGAAGACAAAAAAAATCCTTAATTTACCTAAAATAGACTTAAATGCTGTAGAATAACTCGAATATTAATTTTCAAAGAAAAATTCTAGCCTTTGTAACTACAATTATAAATATAAATACTGGGAGTCTGAAGTAATAAATAATATATACGAGAGTTATTGTTCTAATTAACACGTATTTTTACTTGATTTTACAAGAGATATCCAGCGTTGTTTTTTATCCGGTTCTTATTTTTATATAGATTGATTTTTATTAAGTAACTTATTGTTTCCTTTGTAATTGTAGTTGTCTATACGTATAGTGATTTTGTACATTCATGATATTTTCGCGAAGATCAAAGATAGAAAGTTTCATTTATTCAGATGTTGATTCTATAAATTTTTAGGAAAAGGGATGCCAGATTTACGATCGCAAAATATTTGCGTTACGTTTCATTCGTATAAGAGACGCATACGCAATTAAAAAGTTTTGAATATTAAGATATTTCTTATTTCAAGTAAATCAGTGACGTCTTATCAAAGTCTATGAACAGTGACTAAATGTAAAACTACATCATTTATAAGATAAAGCTATTCCAACCACATAAATGATTTCAGGATCACTATTGATTTAGATCATAAAGTTGTTTGATCCTTGTGACTCCTATAATAAGAGAAGTTTGGTTTGTTTTGATTTTCGCGCAAAGTTACATGAGGACTATGTGCGCTAGCCGTCCCTAATTTAGCAGTGAAAGACCAGATCTAGTCATCACCACCCATCGCCAATTTTTGGGCTACTCTTTTACCAACGAATAGTGGAATTGACCCACGCATTATAACGCTCCCACAGCTGAAAGGGCGAGCATGTTTGCGAGTAAAGCGCCCTAATCACCTGGCCAATCCGGGCCTCATAAGAGAAGAAAGTAAAAATATTTTAGTGTTACTAAGTCGTCGTTCTATAAGAAAACTAGAATAATTGCATAAAACCATAATTAATATGTGTACAAGTGAGTCTGAAAACCTAGGGAAGAGATGCATACGATATGATCCAAATTAAAATTTAAACTTACTAAACCTGATAAAATTTGAAATTCCTAATTTCAAGTAAACCATTTGTGTAAATTAGGTTTTAGAATTCTCTACTTTTTTATTTGTTTTAAGATCTAGGGTACATATTGTTAATGTAGTTTTTCCCTCAGTGAAATATGCTAGATGTTTTGTTCACAGGAAGACGTTCTACTGATGAAACGCCATCTATTGTTCAGTCTGCATATTGCTAACGGAATGAAGTATATAACAGAGATGGGTTACATTCATAGGGATCTGGCCACACGTAATTGTATGTAAGTAAGCTAATTATCTATTCAAACAATTTTCTTTCGTTTTTTGTTTGCTGTAGCGCAAAGCTACATCATGGACTATTTCCACACTGTCCCCAACGGGAAATCGAACCTCAGGCTTCAGAGTTGTAAGTCCGTAAACTCACTGCTGACACACTGGATATTATCCTTCGTAATTACTTCTTAAAACACAAGAGAGAACTTGCTTACAATGTAAAAAAAGATTTAGTATTTTTTAATACGTGTTTTGAATAAAACCAATTTCCAAAAGAAACAATATAACTTTCTGGTTTTAACTTATTTCATACACTAAGCAAAGTTCAAGAGAGAGAGAGAAATTTCTAAAGTTATGTTGAGATCCTGTTTAGATGAATACATTAATTTGAGTAACTGTTTCTGTCATAGGCCTTAGTGAAAATGTTTGAGAGAAGTCAATTGACCTTTCTTCTGATCAAACTAATTGTATTGCTAATCTTGGTTGAATTAAAACGTTACCAGATTGCTAAGTCAGATTTGGAGCTTCGCTATTTATTTGCCATGATTTGTTCAATTGTAATCTTTTTTGCCCGCCATAGTGACTTAGCGGGAAGTCTGAAGGCTTATAATTTAAAAAACTGGGTTTCGATACCGGTGGTGTGCACAGCAAAAATATTCCTTTGTGTAGCTTTGTGCTTTGCTTAAGAAACCGACCACTTTTATTTTCAAAGTAAAATAATTAGAAAAGCAGTCTCATGATAAACTCAGAAGAACCGTATAAAAACAATGTTGCTGAAATGAGTTACTTGATCTGTGAAGATTTATTTATTTGCACTAGTTGTTTGGCTGTAAGTAATGAAACATTAAAATTCGCTGAATGTGTACAGTTTTCCTTTACTGACTATCCATAATGTTCTTTATCAGGAACTTACTTTTTTGTAGTATATCAAAATAAGTATATAAGTGTGTTGGGCTAAGGATTTTTATACAATAGGTGTCTGTGACGTTTTGACGATAACTTCGACAATAAACGAACAGCTAGCACTCCACTTGTTGTTTTTAAAAATACACACACACACACACACACACACACACATATATATATATAAATATTCGAAACAAGTTAAACGTATGTACAAAATTCTTTACACTGTGGCGATCATATTTTTATCCTAAGCACTATACAGTTTTCTTCTTGTCAAACGACCATTTAGGTGTATTCAATTGCTTTAGAATTCACTCAACAACTCGAACTATTTTTCTCTATTTTTATCGCATTAGTATCCGTATATAATTCATTTACGCTGTCGCGTGAATTACTGCAGCTGTATCTTTCACTTCCAATAATCATCTGCTTTTTCGTCAAAGTCCACACAGGCGGGTTGAATCAGCTTAGAACACCCTCATTCTCCTTATCTCTTTCAGACTATTAATCTCACTGTAAGATATCAACCATTAGGCCTTTCACTCCTATGACAGTAAACTTTGCATTTTCTAACTTTTCTCTCACCAAGCTTCTCTTTCCCGTGACTTTACGTTTTACTCTCTCTCTCTCTCTTTCCGATCGTCTGGTCGCAGCTATTTATACGTCTATCACTTAGGCCTTCTAGAAATCTCCATATGCTTGGCATCAATGGATTGCAAACACAACGTTCCATAGCCTCGACTCAATGAATTATAAACACAAAATAAATATATTAATAATACTACCTACACTAAACAGTTTTTTTTTATATCTGACATTCTTTATATGTGATTGTTTGTGTTTTATGCAGGTTGGACGAATATTTCGTGGTAAAAATTGGAGACTTTGGTCTAGCACAGACAGTTTCTGCTAATAGTTCCATGAAAACATCCCGACAGCGGTGTATGCCTATTCGTTGGATGGCTCCAGAAAGCATGCGTTGTGGAGAATTCTCTGAGAAGTCTGATGTGGTAAAGATCTAGTTGCAGATTTAATTTTTTTTGTGTACTAATGATCGAAAAAGCCAAACTATGTTTCCAATGAACGTATCATCTTTTGTTTTTTGTCAGTCCTGGTTAATCAATATTTTATGGTAAATCTAAATCACTCAGTTTTTGTATTCTTAGTGTGGCAAAAAGTATTTTTGAGTTTAAAACGGCAGGTATTTGAACAAGTTTTAAAAATACTTATTAACTTGAAATTGGCTTTGTTTTTAACTAAACAGTATTAACTGTGAATAACTGGTTGGTTGTTATTAAGCACAAAGCTACACAATGAACTATATGTACTCTGCTCACCACGGGTATCGAAACCGAACTTTTAGCGTCGTAAGCCTGCAAATTTGCCGCTGAGCCACTGAGGTGCATTTTAAATAATATAAAGCACATATACCAAGCAAGTTCATAGTTAAATTATAATATAAAAGTCAATTTGTCAGGTTAATTACCCACAAATGACACGAATAACTAAAGAAAAACAACATTCAGGTGTAGTTCAATATTCCTGTCTAGTATTCTACTCTAATACTTGAACATAAATTTCAGGTTATTCTACATTGATGGTACATTTAGTTTGTATAATACTTAGGATTATTTTATAGGGCCTGGCATAGTCAGGTGGTTAGGTGTGACGGTCAATTCCACTAATCGTTGGTAAAAGGGTAGCCCAAGAGTTGGCTGTGGGTGCTGATGACTAGCTGCCTTCTTTCTAGTCTTTCACTGCTAAAATTAATGGCGGCTAGCGCAGATAGCCCTCGTGTACCTTTGCGAGAAATTCGCGACAAAGCAAACAAACAAACTTATTTTATAACTATTGTCATACATATATATAGCTCTGTTATACAATATATACATATATTGTCATAGGATATCTATTGAGAAACACACACATCAACCTATCTAATACTCTGGTATATTTTATAAAGGATGCCATGTTAACAAAACTCTGTTCAAAGGATGCCTACTAGGAAGCGCACGTTAACTTGGAAAATAAAATAAAAAACATTACCGGTAATGACACTGAGTGACTTTCCTTTCAGGGGGAAAGGATCATTGGTAGGTTACAGTTACACAATAGTTCATTATCTGAATAAAACATTCAATACTTTACTTGAGCGGTGTTTTAGAATAGTTTAGATTGGATCGTGTATTATTTACATAATGAATCACGCACCTGTCCCAGTACCAATTCCAAAGCCTAACATACTTGTCTATGTAGTGACTTAATCTTTATAACACTACTTAGCTGGATGCTATGCTTATTTGTCTTTTGGTAGTATGTTATGTTGAAAATGGAAAATAATGGAAATTCGACATTTCTGTTAAGCCACTAAACTAAAATGAAACTAAACCATAGATGGCCAGTTGTTACGAAACTTTAAATACTGACTACCTCAGGCGGTTTGGCAGCAAGCTCGAAGGTTTATAACACTTAAATTTGGTGTTCGATTCCTGTGATCGGCACAGCACAACTTGCCTATTTTGCAGCTGTGTACTTAACCCCCCAAAAAAAAGAAAAACTACTACCAAACTACGTATATGATGTTTTGATGTGTCTTGTACTCACGCAGTAGTCCAATATTTATATAGGAATTTCAAGAATACGTATAATTGGTTCTACAACTTTATTCTTGCGAATTATTCAGCCACACAACTAGCTATTTCAAATACCTAAAAATAAATGTGAAGACAAATATATCATTCGATTTTCCACTTTTCACTAAGTTATATCTGTTTGGGAAATTTCATAGGGCTTCACATTTATTCTTTAGTAACTATATTTAGTACTAAAATGATGTTCCTCTAGCAAAACCGACGAACGAGAAAGAGATAAAACAAGGACGAAAGAGAATGAGACGAAACAAAAACGACTAATATGGACATGTGTCATTTGAATTTCAAAAATATGTAACTTTTAATTATCATCAAAACATGCGTATAATATAGAATTGAAGGAAGGATAATAAAAATATGAAATTAATAATCTGAACAGTTTGAGATAACGGTTTTGTTACAGTTTGTGTACACTTAAAGTAGCACAGTCAATCCTATAGCTGGACCACTCTAACAAAACCTACAAGTGTGTTATATCTTGTGCACACTTAAAGTACCACAGTCAATCCTACAGCTGGACTGAACTAAGTATTTAGTTATCTAATATCCTAGACAAAAATGTTGTTACTTTTACGTTTTTCTTACTCGAAACTCAGTGGGTATTAATAAGCGTGGAGATAATAACTACTTCAGCGCAACGTTGTCGAAATAAGAAAGGAACCATTTTTAGGAGAATCATAACGATAAGTAAGATTTACTTTATCAACAACTGTTTCTCCTAATTAAATTGAATGTAACGTTAAGAGAAAAGTCTAAAATACAGAATTATAATCCATAAGTATAACATTGAAAGCAAGGACGCCCGCAGAAAAAAAAAAATTAGGGGGTCAAGTAACTCAAGTTTCAAAAATTATGAAATCGAAATACAAATACCTCATGATTTTTCCAATAACATAGAAGAAGAATTTTCACATATCTAGTATTTTTTCTTTTTGAAAATCCATGGGGGGTCAAGTGACTCCCCCTTTTCACTTCCTGTGGGCGCCCATGATTGTAAGGTTAAACTCAACTTGAAATCTGCATACCATTGATAAAGATAACAGTGTTCTGACAAAAAAATATTAATTATACGTAGTGTAAAATTACTTTCTACTTATGATTTTGTATGCAGTGGTCTTACGGTGTCACCATTTGGGAGATTCTAACCTTGGCCAAGACCCCCTACTTCGACCTGGCGAACATTGAAATATTACCCTTTCTGACGTCTGGAAATAGACTCAGTCGCCCAACCGTTTGTCCAGATAACATGTGAGTACAGCGTTGTAATGTATACAAAAGCAGGTGTAACATCATTGTTATTGGATGTACTTGATGGAAGTATGTTGAATCTCTCAAAATTATTTCATTTTTTATTTCTGGTACGACTATATATGTTTGAAAAATATAAATAAAAGATCAAGTATTGACGTATGTTTATATACGTAAAACTTGAAATCTGCGTGTAAATATAGCGAACGTGTTAAGTTATATGTTTGCAATTTACATGTAGAAAATATTCATTTTCTACCAACGGAACATCACTGATTGTCCCTACTAACTGAAAGTTTTAATATCAAACCGACATTTGTTTAGTTATATTGATTAGCATAAAATATCCGTGCTTCGCTGCGGGGTTCTAAGACCCCTCTCACTTTGTGATTAAAAAAGGCCTCAGTGTACCTATCAAGCTCCTCCATAGTTTTCACTTATTTCTATAGCTACCACAAAGGGCGTACCCTAAAATTACCCCCCCCCCCCCGTTACGATACCTGCCTGTGTTACCTGAACATTAATGGCACGTTTGGTCCCATTAACTTATGAGTGGGTATACGAACACAGTTATAAACATGACGTCCCCAGGATCCCGAGACTAGGTAACAGAAAGATAAATTCCGATGTCATGTTCGGATTCGGCAACACTGAAAACTGACTTCTAGGCCTCTACCACACCTGGATGACCTCCCAGTCGCGTTTCTTGCGCCCCCTTGATATTGATATCCCAAATAAGGGTAGGGGCTACCACGTACTGATAAGAACACGCTCCCTCCTGGTGACCTCTGTTCCGCCTACCAAGTATATTTCTGCTAGTTCCACATCTATTTGCAGATAAACAAATTCACAAACACAGAACGTGAATTGATATAAGATTAATTAAAAAAATTAAATAATAGTTTTCTGATTTTAGTTACACAGTGATCCAACGCTGTTTTGAGGAAAATCCTAACGACAGACCAGGATTTTCAGAGATCGTGCAGTACTTAGAAGATTACATAACTCTCACATCAGGTTACCTTAACCTCCAGTCTTCAAGTTCTTGTCCAGATACTTGTCCTATTTAGCTCGAGATAAAGTGCATCTGCTTACTGCGATGAAGATATTGCGAGTTCTGTATCACCAATAGATGGCAGCTCTGTCTATGGATTTTATAGTTTAAAGTTTTTGATGAAAACTAAGTGTAGTGACAGAAGATTATTTTGATTCTTCTTGACTGAGCGATAGTAAAAACAATACTAAAAGTTTTTGAAAAATATAAATATTGGAGAAAGTGAAAATTTCATTCTCATTCTGTATCGTGAAATATATGTATTTTTACGTTTTTCAAATTGTTTGCATTACTTTGTAGTGAAAAGAACCGTTCAGACACTAGTGTTCTTTTAAAGGTACGATTATCAGAGAACATTCTGATCAACTATAACTAATAAAATTTTTATAGACACACCTGATTGTTGTTAATATTTGGTTTAAATTCTGATTAATTTGTCACTAATATTCCGAGCAAGCATTTCAGTAAGTCAGGTGAAGCTTGGAACCCATGTCGACTGTGTACATTACGTTATTAAACACTATCTTCGCACCTAGAACTGAATCTAATTTTTCTCTAAATGCTTTGTTGATTTTTAATGCTTATTATCTGTTCTACTTCTTTGCAAGTTAAACGTATACCCAAAGTATTATTAACAATGTTACAATGGTAAATAATGACGATACAAAAACTTACATAAAAAACTGAAAACAAAAATGGACAGAACTTACACCACACACACACACACACAAAGGTAAGTGATAAATAAATGTTCTAATGTTCACAACGTTGCGGCCCGGGACACAGTTTCATCTTGTGAACATTATAAAACATAAGAAAAGCGGTTTTCATTAGTGTACGAATTCTGAAAATAGAAAATAAAACACTCTAAAATAATTACAAAGTGTTTCATCACCTTTGTTTGCAGGATTACCCTGTATGACGTTTATTGAATAAAGTTCAGAAACCTAAGTAGTGTTGAAACAATAAATAATTATTGATTTTATTTCAATGTATTATTAGTGCTTTCGCATCTTGTTTAACGTCACACTTCAACCAATATCTTTTAACATTCTGAGAAAAAAAAAAGTAGGGATGTATTTCGAAGGTTTTAGGGGTTCTTGCAAACTGCCAGATCAACGAAAGCTTTTCTTTATTCTTCCCATGAATATCACCTTTGTTACTGATCCGTTTTTCTGTGTACAATATCCCTTCGTTAGTACGGAGTGGGTCAAATAGACCGAGCTCGTGCACATTCGGTTGATAGTTTATTATATAAGAAAACCGAATTTTCTTCTTACTGGCAATTTTAAAAGAACTAGTTTATTAATTTTACTAAATTTAACATTGCACTTATAATTGATCTAAGTCATATGATATTTATTATTGTTTGTTTATTTGTTGCTAAGCCTAAAGCTGACAATAGACTATCTATGTTCTAGGGCAAGGAAGGACATTATGCTAATACAATAGTAGGTAGGCAAACAATGATTTATAAGCATAGGGAAGAATTATATTGATGGTGGAATATATTACATGTTTCAAAAGAACACTGGTTTATCTTCTACTGGAACATGTTATATGTTCCACCATCAATAAAATTCTTCTTTTGCTTATAGATCATTGATTGCCTACCTATAATTATCGATTTTGTATCCACCGTGGGTATTGAAACCCACTTTTTGGCGTTATAAGCCCTCAGACTTACCACTGAGCCACCAGCCATGATATGTGTTATTGACTCTAATAATCCAAAATAATACACTGCAAAGTAAGCATAGTAAATAATTGCATTAATAGTCAAGAAAAGATCTAGTCAGAAACAAACACTGATGTTTTGAACATCGGGGACAAAGATTTTTACACGTAATGGGTAGTAGTTAATAGATGCAAAAGTGGTTGGGATTTCTGTCTTAAAAGGTATTTTACGAAGTCTTCAAGTTTAACTTGTTCAAAATGAGCTAAATGTGCCCCTAAGACTCTCACTGCTTCCCTTAAAAGCAGCCTTAATGTCGTTTCATTAGAACATGTGACGCTCCTTCGCATACAAACGAAAATCCTCGCTGGTTGATGCTACTTCTATTGGAAAACATTGCTACTCATGAAATACATTTGGACTGCATAGAAATAACTCAGATGTAATTGGCTGGTTGAAGGAAACATTCTTCCCTATTTTCAAAAGTTCTTCTTTTGGATCTGTTTCACTCACGACACAAATTCCTATCACTTTACAAATGGAAGAACAATGTGAATATATTGTTACAATAAAAACTTTTTCAGACGACGTTTCTACAGCTCTTATTAACCATTTATTATTTGCTCCCGATTTATATGTCACTCTATAGGATGAAATAAACTCTGTCCTTTTTATCTTGTTTAGGAGGATCTCAAAAAATGATGATACTGTCATTAGTAACAGATTTATTTAGAACATTTGTTGGGGATGAAAATCATTGCGAATTTTCTCCCGTCTCTCTGTATATATATAGATCAATTGAAGCCCCAGGTATTTTTGAGAGATCATCCTCATTTTTTTTTATTACAACTTCAGACTCATACCATAGTTTTTGTTTTCCCAATTTTAAGTTGTAAATCCATTTTTTATTCTTTCGAGCCCACAAGGATCGATATATTTTTCTCATCTCTTCTGTTAGACGATCGAGTTTTGCATTTAAATGAAAACTGACACAGATAACTTTGTCTCCGTGACGGTAGTTTCACGCTGTCGACAAACTCAATAATTTTGAGCTCCGTAACAGGATTGAGAACAGATCGACTTCTTTTTCGCTTTTGTTTTTTGCGCCATTCGCTCAGTATTTTAGGACTGAAAGGAAAATTTATAGTTTTCCTCAAATACTGAAAGAGATCGCCGTTTTACAAACCTCCTCCTCAAATTTGACATATAATTTTTACTATGTGATCCTTAAATTGGGAAATAAATTTCTCAAGTTTCACGTAAGCCTCTACAAGATTCATTCGGACGATGAAATATGAAACAGATTCTGTTATCTTTCAGACTACTAATTCGCAAAGGATAAAGCTATACTTTAACAATAAAAGCATTTTTACCATACGATACTAATATTTCTGGCAGGCATTTGAAAAAGTTACCAGTTTCTATGTTGGAGGTCGGTGTGGTTTGGTTTGAGTTTCGCGCAAAGCCACACGAACGCTATCTGCGCTAGCCGCCTAATTTAGCAGTGAAAGAGTAGAGGGAAGGCAGCTAGTCATCAC